TTTCGTAAGTTGGAGAAAGTATCCCTGGTGACTAGCAGTTGCGGTGCAGCAACAGCAACTACTGTGCAGCGAATGATAACATCATCATCCACAGTTAAATTACACACAAGAAAGCTACTTTGAACTTGAGCTGCATCACTTTCCTGCTTTGCAAACATGTTGCAGTGAATGATAACATNCGCTACTTAAGCTTACCTTTTGTGATGCAGGCCAATGGTTCTTCATTATAAAGCTTCTGAAGTACGGTACATAGCCTATTATAGTTGAAACTGTTCTATTGTAGATTTATACACTGAAATACACCTACACTGTAATTTTAACCACACTAATATCCTAATGCCGTAACACGAAAATAATTGAATCTAATACCATTATACAGTACTGTGCACTAAAATAAAGGAAGATGAATGAATACCAAAAACTACGAATGTTTAGGAAAAGTAGTCTGTTATTGATTTCTGTTTCAATGACATGGCTTCTTTCTTCCTTATGGTTGCTCTCAATCTGCGTAACACCAATTTGTCAGAAAGCAGAGAATCGCTTTGTTGCTCCAGAAACTCTAGCAAACCCTCAGTCCATTGAAGAGCAGATGAATTGCTTATCCTTGCATTAAAATATAGTTTTGCCTGTTTTGCGCAGATAATTCCTGAAACAGGAATGTTTTGTGCCCTTTGTTGGTTAAACCATTGCAACATTGCTTTGTCAAGCTCATCATAAGTTGGCAGTTTCATTGTTTTTCTGCCTGATAAGCCACTCGATGAATCAAAATTACTGGCGTAATTAATCAATTTATCTTTATTTTTTCTGAGATCGCGAACTGTTGTTTCACCTATACAATATTGTAAAGCTAGGTTTCTGGTAGACCATCCTTGCTCAAGCTTCTTAATTATGTCGAGTTTCTGGTTAATTGTTAAAACTACACGCTTCCTTTTCTGCTCCATTATTTTTAAATTATTGAAGAACCAGTCACAATGATAAAAAAAACAATGGTAATTCGGCACTTTCTCGCACAAAAACTTAAATTGTATTTTCCCACACAACTGAACTGCCTACTGTATTAATAACAACTGAAGAATGCAGTTCAGTGACAGACAGGATCGTACTCTTCTTTCAAAAGAACTCTCCTTCCTCCCACTACTACAGATTGACTGGTGCCTGAGTTTGGTCTTTGTTGGTCCCTTTGCTAATTGAGGTCTCACACCAGACAGATTTATGGCTCCTTGCTGGTCAAGGTTCTTTAACATTCTCTACTTGTTGGAAAAAGGGTAGGTTTCGAGCTTTCGAAACCTGATTTCGAGCTTTTAAGAAAAATAACGGGAGAATATCGATGGATGACGTAAATGCGAGTACAGTTCTCTCTAAATTATAGTAAACTAACATTGACTGTCATACAAAACATTTAAACAAATGTGATACTCACTGAAAAAAAAAAATCTTTAAAAATACATTGCCGCGGTTGAGCCGCAAAGCGGTTAAACAGCGCGCGGATAATCGAGAGTCTACTGTACTTTGAATTTTATTCAATATCACTAGTCGAGGAGGATGACGTTGGCAGGGCATGTAGCACGAATGGGGAGGCGAGGAATGCATATAGGTTATTAGTGGGAACGCCAGAAGGAAAGAGCCTGCAGTACAAGAGATCTAAAAGTATTTATTGGTAGTAGCGAAAAAAAGCATTTTGAGGGGGGCGAGGGGGGAATACTCAAAATAGTTGCTAAGGTAGCATACCTTCTTACCGATTGTGCTCTCGGCCCTGGAGGTCACTTTTAATTTAGTCATGTAAGATCAACGTAGATGGCAGGAGGGTTTCATTGAAGTTTCATAGGGATCATGTTGCCCACCAATAATATGGGAGTTTCACGGTGCTGACCNGGTTCACCGACGTGTCATAGGTTCCATTTTACCCACTAATAATATGGAAGTTTCTCGGTGCTGACCACGAGTGACCAACAGCCACACAAGTAGAATAAAGTCTGCCATTTAGGTTTCTGATCTTACATTTATGATGGAAGTGTGTAAGTTTTATGTATTCTTGAGGAAATACNTGGAGGTCACTTTTAATTTAGTCATGTAAGATCAACGTAGATGGCAGGAGGGTTTCATTGAAGTTTCATAGGGATCATGTTGCCCACCAATAATATGGGAGTTTCACGGTGCTGACCGTGCTGACCACGAGTGACCAACAGCCACACAAGTAGAACAAAGTCTTGCATTTAGGTTTCTGATCTTACATTTATGATATAAGTGTGTAAGTTTTATGTGTTCTTTAGGAAATAATTAGATCATTCGAGAGAAATTCAGTTTCCTCATATTCTTACAAATTATGGTGTTAGTGATATCATTCCGCAGTTTCAAGTTCTAGTTGGGATTCTGCTGATAGTCTATGGCCCCGTTTTGCGGGTCATGTTTCTAGTAGAATGTACATTTTTACTGTTTTCTGCCCTTTCTCGCCTGTTCACATACCAATCCGACTTATAATGGACGTCGTGAGAGCTGATGGTCTATGGTATGTACGTATATGCAAGGCATACAAATGAATTTTTGCGGTTCTGCGTTGTAAATTTGTGGGGTAGGTTTACTGTTTCTAGGACGTAACTGCAGTTTGGTAGCTAGTTACCGACGTTTTGGAAGCAAGATGCTCACACAAAATGGGTGAACTAGCTTTCTTCAGAACTGAGCAACAATCTGTAAGACTACAAAACGTGTAATTAGACACCAAGNTTCTCGCCTGTTCACATACCAATCCGACTTATAATGGACGTCGTGAGAGCTGATGGTCTATGGTATGTACGTATATGCAAGGCATACAAATGAATTTTTGCGGTTCTGCGTTGTAAATTTGTGGGGTAGGTTTACTGTTTCTAGGACGTAACTGCAGTTTGGTAGCTAGTTACCGACGTTTTGGAAGCAAGATGCTCACACAAAATGGGTGAACTAGCTTTCTTCAGAACTGAGCAACAATCTGTAAGACTACAGGACGTGTAATAAGACACTGAGCTTCATAATCACTGCAACACTGCCGGCCTCTACTGTGAGAACAAAGAATTACACGTCAGTGTGTTCAAAATAATTAGTATGTTTCCTTACAGACTTGGGCAAATATTCAGAGCTAGGTACTGGTACACTTTTTAGAAATGTGATCCAATATCACTAGGATTCTTGTATATTAATTAATTTTCTACCCACATGTGATAAAATAAGTTTCAAGTTTATGAAAGATTCTGCATTCTCTTGCAACAAGAATGCCGAGAATTCTGCTACAGGGAACTGAAGAAACATTTCCTGCTGTGACAGAAAGGATGGTGAGGGTTTTGTGCTTGTGTGCACAGACAAGAATTTTATTGTCATCAGTCAATTCTCGTATCTTAAGAAACTAAACTTTTTATGCCAAGCTTGTGTTAGTTTTCATAATCCATGTGGGAAGTTTACATGGTTCTTCACATTGTAACAATTTGCATTATTTTGTGGGAGAGAGATCAATTCAAGGAAGTGATAAGGGTATGTATGTGTGTGTGTGTGTATGTAATGGTTAGATCATAAAGACCGGCCACGGCACTGTGACCTTCAATGAACTGTTCTGTTTGCCCTTGGTTTAGCCCTTTGTTAATCCTACATTCTTAATAAAGTGTAGGACCCTGCTTATGGGGCCATTATAATAATCACAAGTGACAAAATATTAAATAAGCTATGGCCCCACAATCACACAGGATGAGTGCTGCTGATTCATTTTCACATGTTGGGTTGTCTGTCAGTCCCAACTTGTAAAGGTGTCCTTTCAGGTGGTAGTGTCTGGTAAGTAATCCTACCACCCATCTTAGTTGATCTCTGTATAATCTCAACAGATCTTTCGTTCTTCTGACAGAGNAATAACATTTCAGGAAATAAAGGCTAAACCTGAGGTGAGCTGTATGTTTCTGTATGTCCACTGATAGGCAGATATCACAAATAGGCAGGAATTCCAGTTGTCTTTTTCATCTATTTCTGTCTGTCTGTGCACTTGAAACAACTCCACTGTGCTGCTGACTCGCCTTTGAAGGCCTTTTTCTGAAGTGTCTCTAGACAGTTATAGTTTGTCGAATGTATCCTGCTTGTGATGTACCACTTCTGTTTCCTTTTAAGCAGTTCTGATGCAGATGAAATTAAATTTTGCATAAATGGAACTGTATCTTAGAGAAATTCTATAGCAGCAAAAATCCTTAGGGAGTCATGGAACTGGTCTCAGTTATTTAGTGATATACTTGTTAGAACCATTAAGTTACTAGGACTCTTGTGAGCTAATTCCAATGAACCCCACAAGATATTTATCATGTGATGAACTGGTTTCAAGGTTACACAAGATTCTGCATTCTCTTGTAACAAGAGTGGCAAAAATTGTACTGTATAGAGATGAAGAAATGTTTCCTGAAAGAATTCTGAGTGTTTCATGCTTGTGTGCACAGACATGAATTTTATTATATGTCAGTTGTCTTGGCCAGAGAAACTAAATATTCTGTGACACACTTCTGTTTGTTTGCATAATACACTTGGGGACTTTCATACACTTGGGTGATAACGGTTTCGGATATTATTTAGGAGAGCAATGCATTCAAGGAGAGCGATGTGGGTAAGTCATGTAGTGCACATGCAACAGTGAGAAATGCATACAATGTTTTGGAGGGAAAACCTTAGCGAAGCAGACCACTTGGGAGACCTAAGTGTGGATTTGAAAGAAATAATTTGGAAGGGTTTGTACTGGGTCTGTTTCCTTTAGGATACAGAGACGTGATGAGCATGTGTGATCACAGTAATGAGCACTTTCTGGCTTTCTCAACTTATCCAGTATTCATTCCTCTTCTCCCCCATGCCTGCTATATGAGCTGCCTATCTCATCCTCCTTGACTTGATCATGTAATTATGCTTGGTGAATGAAGGTTACAAGTTGTGGAGCTCTTTATTATGATGTTTTTAGGTACCAAAACAGATATTTTCTGTACTGCCCTTGTGACCGATAGTTTCTCGAGAAGGTCACTGAGCTATGAACCGAGTACTTTCTAGTGATCGTGTTAGCTGTAGAGAAGAACATCTATACAGAACAGCTCTTATGAGTTTAATGTTACGAGAAACAGCCATAGCAAGGAGAGCATAAGCCTTTTTAATGTGTGGTGTTGTGCATCCATTTCTGAGAAGGATATGATGGTTTTTACAGAACTGTAGTAATTTGGAGAATGCTTTAGTGGGTCTATATGGTGAGACATGCCCAACACGTCATGATGCAAATCATGCCATGAATGTAAAAGCTGAGGCAGTATCAGATGCAGAAGAGGAAGAGGATCCTGTCCCACTAACATTTCCAGAAATAAAGGCTGAACCTGAGGTGAGCTGTATGTGCACTCTTAGGCAGATGACACAAATGTGCAGAAATGCCGCTTGTCTTGTCTGTGAACATAAAACAACTCCACTGCGCTGTTGACTAGATTCTGGAGGTTTCTTTTTCCTGAAATGTCTCCAGGCAACTGTAGTTTGTAGAATGTTGCTTGTGATGTCCCATTTTCTTTTGAGCAGATCTGATAGATGAAATGAAGTACTGTATAAACTGAATGTTTGCGGTAAATTCTCTTTGTCACATCCACAAAGCAGTGCTTTGGTACTACATCATAGAGTTCCCAAGATCTATGAATGCTGAAGTTTATCATTCGTTTTCTGTCTCCCATGCTGTCTGTATCCATGTAATAACATGGAGGTGTCAGTATGTTGAGGATTTGTAACAGGATAACTAATGATTCTCTAAAGATGTGTGACAATGTGTGACTGAATATAGACACGTGTTACCTGTTGCCCTTTGTTTGAAGCAAATTAAAATACGTGACACCGTTTGAGTTCCCCTGCACCTGCCATCAGGTGACTGGTTGTCATGACAGATTTTTTTGTTGTTTTCTCTCAGACAGAAAGGTGACTGAACATTAGATGCAAAGAATGTGTAAAAGGTGTAGAAAGCAATAGTGAAGAACTGGTGTTGGCAACACATCCTAATACAAGTGTATTGACACAATTGTGGTGAAATGGAATATACAATTGGAATACAGCATAGTGGACAGTTCCCTTCGACTGCTAATCGCTATGCAGCACTTTCTAACCTCAATGAGCCTGAATCGGTATCGGCAGTATATCACCAATCGAATGGGAAATTTAAAAAGAAGAAGTTTAATACAAATAAACCAAGGCACAATGTTTTTATCATTGGAGACAGTCATGCAAGAGGAATAGCGGTTAAGTTACAACATAACCTAGAAAAGGACTATAGTGTTACAGGTTTAGTTAAACCAGGAGCAGACTTATCAGCAATTTTGAGTTCAGGGTTAAAAATATAAAAGATTTTACAAAAAATGATGTGGTTTTATGGGGAGGCACTAAAGATGTAAGTAGAAATGAAACAAGTAATGGCCAGACCCAAATAAGAAATTTTGTAAGGGAGAACGGACATACAAATATTTTAGTCATGAATTTACCAGATAGACAGGATCTTGAAGTTAATTCTTGTGTAAATCGAGAGATAAAGGTTTTCAATAGAAAATTATGTAAATATATGAAGCCATTTGATTATGCATTCTCACTGGAAGTAATATTTGAAAGATAGCATTACACTAGACATGGGCTTCACTTAAATACAAAAGGCAAAGATCTTTCAGCTACTATACTTCTGTGTGCTATTAAAGACATTTTTAAAAAAAGTAAGATGATCCCAGTATCTATGAATTGGAATAATATGCAGGAAATGATTGTATCTAAAAACTTAGGTAAGGAAAATGAGCAGGTAGATGGTATTCATAAAACAGTAAATAGGCAATTTGATATATCTAATCATAATGTAAGTGGCAGCTCTGAGATATTAGACAGACAATCTGAAACATCTCATAATAAAGCTCCCCAACCTAGATCAACTGGCAGAGAAAGGAAAATCCCGCTGACAAGGACTAATGATTTTTTATGGTAGATGAAAATTCTAACAGGGTCAATCGAGTCATTATAAATCCTCAAAGTGACCTTGCAGGGTGCATTTCAAATAGAACATATTATAAGGATAAGGTATGCCCCAATTTGCGACTTACTTCAGACACCCAATATATGAATAAGGACTTTTTAGTGTTCCATCAGAATGTGAGAGGATTGAGGGATAAAAACAATGAGTTGTTTGGATCATTGCTCCCTGAACTCCCTCATATTTTATGTCTAACAGAACACTTCTTATCAAATCAGGAGATTATATGGTTAACTATATATCATTATATGCTTGGTGCAGAGTTTTGTAGAAAAACACTTAAAAAGGGAGGCACATGCATTTATGTACACGAATCATTAAATTTTTCTAATATTAATTTGAAGAAGTTTTGTATTGAACAAGACATTGAAGCATGTGCTGTTAAAATAAATCTATTAGATACCATCTTATACATACTATCTCTTTATAGATCTCCAAATGGAAACTTTAGGCAGTTTCTAAAGGGTATAGATAACATTCTAAATTATTTAAATAAACCAAATAAAGAAATTATTATGTGTGGTGATATAAATGTTAATTATCTGTCTGAAAATTGTAATAAGAGACAGCAATTGGATAATTTACTTGCAACTTATAACTTAACTAACACGATAAATTTCCCTACAAGAAGTACAAAGGACTGCGCCTGGGCAATTGATAATATCTATATTGATGTAACCCATTTTGAGGGTTATACTGTCATTCCAGTTGTAAACGGCTTATCAGATCATGATGCCCAGGTAATTAAGTTAGAAAATATACTAATGAGTAAAAAAATGAAGTTAAAACTATGAGAAATATTGATAAATGCTCTATAAACGATTTTAAATTTAAATTGAGTTATGAGACGTGGGACGATATATTTAATGAAAATGATGTAAATAAAATGTTTAATAATTTCCATAATACTGTAACATGTTGCGCCACGGAGAACCCCTCCCTACCCAACTGCAAGGTGGCAACTCAGGCCACAGGCGCGTGGCGGTAACATAGCACTCCCTCCCACCCCTCCGCGGTGACGTAACGCGCAACGCTACGTACCCGTAATCAACTTCCTACTGTGACGTGGCACTCATTACGCAACAGGCAAGCACTGCAGCTATATAAGTGAGCTGCACAGCAGCTGCCAGTCAGTTCTACCATAGCAGTCAGCGACTTCAGTTGGAATGTGGGCAGTCGCCGAGTTGTAAAGTAACAGTCGCCGAGGAGAGTTATAAAGTGACAGTCGCCAAGTGTGCTATCAACGAGTTCTCAGTTCGCAAGTTACGAGCTACAGACGCGTGTGCGAGAATCAGTGCTAGTTCGGGACAACCAGTTATATCTGGAGTGTGTAATTCAGGGAGACATGTATAGCTCCCGCGTTATTAGTACGTGAAGACAAGTGAAGATCGTGTTAAGAGATTTTGTTGTAGGGTTTGTAAAGTGTGGAAACCCGTAATATTGTGATAATTAATTGTAGCCGTTTCTCTTAGATTGTTAAATAAACCAATTAGCCATCTCTACGGCGTCTTCAGTAACGTAAACACGTTACAATACGTATTTAAGGATTTTTTATTCATGCTTCTTAAAGAAGAAAATTATTGTAAACAAGAAAGAGAATAGTTGGATGACTAGAGGAATAAAAATTTCACTTAATCATAAGCGTGAGCTATATTTGAATATTAAATATAATAATGATCAGGCATTAAAAGATTTCTATAAACGTTATTGTAAAATTCTATCAAGAGTTATTAAGGAGGCTAAGAAATATCAATACAATAAAAAGATATTAACCTCCAGCAATAGGATCAAAACTATATGGAATATTGTTAAAACAGAAACAGGTAGAAAAACAAAAAAAGAAGGAATATCATTAATAAATCATAACGGTCTGCAAATAGATGATCAGCACATAATATCAAGTATTTTTAATAAATATTTTTCATCAATAGCAGATGAAATAATAGGTCTAAATATAAATGAGACAACTGCCATAAATAGTCTTCAAAATACAGAACGAGCCTATCCTAGGATTAAATTTGTAAATACATCAACCCAGGAGATTCGTAAGATTATAAAATCATTAAAAACAAAAAATTCCCATGGGTACGATGAAATTTCAGTTAAAATTTTGAAATGGAGTTCCCCGTATATAGTCTCCCCACTAACTTATATATGTAATAAATGCCTTGAAAAAGGTATTTTCCCATCCAGATTAAAATACTCAAATGTGAAACCTATTTATATATCAGGAGACAAACTAAATATAGCAAACTTCTGACCAATATCTTTGTTAATATCCTTTTCTAAAGTTGTTGAGAAAGTTATCTACTTAAGAATTCACCAACAGGTGGTTCAAAATCAAATATTGGCAAAGTAGCAATATGGTTTCAGAAGTGAATCTTCTACTGATAAAGCAGCTTATACATTAACACATGATATATTAACTGCTTTTAATAATAAACAGATTGTGGGAGGTATCTTCTGCGATTTAAAGAAGGCCTTTGACTTAGTATATCATAAAATCCTGTTGAATAAACTTGAATACTATGGCATTGTAGGGAAATTCAATGCCATGATCAAATCTTACCTTACAGAGAGATACCAGAGGGTGATAATTCAAAATAATTCTAGAAATAGTTACTCTGAATGGGAGATAGTCAAGCACGGGGTGCCGCAGGGATCTATCTTGGGCCCTCTATTTTTTCTTTTATTTATTAAAGATCTGCCTTTGACGGTTTCTAAAAGTAATACATTAGTGATGTATGCTGATGACACTAGTATGATTGTAACAGGTTCTAATCCTGTACACTTTTTGACGGAGATAAATACCGCTCTTGATGACTTAAATAAGTGGTTTAGGAGTAATTTCATGTATTTAAATTTTGACAAAATACATCTTTTAATATTTCAGACTAAAAATAGTCAGAAGCTTGATTTAAACATTACTTTTGCAGATAAGCATATCACTGATCTTACAAATATCAAGTTTCTAGGATTGATTATTGATGAAAAGTTGTCATGGAAGGGGCACATTGAAAATGTTCTAAAAAAAGTTAAGTTCCACTTGTTATGCTATCAGGATTGTCACGCGCATTATGATGGAGAATACTCTTAAGAATGATATATTTTGCATATGTTCATTCATTATTATCTTATGGTATTTTATTATGGGGTAATTCACCACATAGTCTTAGTGTTTTTAAGATGCAAAAACGAATGCTCCGTATTATGACTAAGACTAGATGTAGAGACCCTTGTAGACAACTTTTTAAAAATTGGGAAATTTTACCATTTTATTCTCAATATGTATTTTCTTTGATGATATTTGTTGTGAGAAATAAGCATCTTTATAAAACTAATCAAGAATTTCATGGTTTAAACAAGGCACAATACTGACCTTCATTTTCCATCTGCTAGATTAACCTTTAAGTGACGGGCCGGATTTGATTTAAATACCCCCAATTTTAATCTAGCAGATGGAAAATGAAGGTCAGCATTGTCCCTAGTGTTTAGACCATGAATTTCTTGATTAGTTTTATA